AAGATACTTTACCCATTAAATAACTGAAGCTATTTAAGGGAATATGTCCAGAACGAAGCCTTAGGGCTGTTACAATTTCACTTCTGCTCATATTGGCTCCATCAATCCAAGTGAAACCAGAAGGTTGCGATTGGATTGTTTTATACCAAATGCCTCTAGAAAGTGATCGCTCGTCAAAAAATTCTTTCCATAAATTTCTACAACGTACTTTAACACTAAATATTATATCTGTAAAATAAGGTTCGTAATTAAATAAAATACCCTCCACTGACGCTTTTTTGGCTAACCTATCGACAACCTCATTACCTATTAGGTCGACATGAGCAGGAATCCACTGTAACACTACATTTTTATTGTATTTATTTTGAAGGTTACGAATAGAATCCATAATGGCATAGGCTATCGGTGCACCTCGGGCTTTACCGGCAGGTACTATCATACCGGAGAGGTCTGGGATGAGGGTTCAGACTAAGAGCGGCGCACGTGGTGTTAGTGTCACTCCATTTATCCTTTGCTTACAGAGCTTCATAGGATGTGGCAGTGGCGTTGTATAGAACGTCGCGTAAAACTCCGGGTCCAATGAAAGGGATGGTGTTAGATCACCGCAGATACGCAGCGGATTGAGCACTAATCCATTTACTACCTATGACCTTGGGACGCTTTCTGTAAATGTTGGTGGACCTGCTTCCGTATGCCGACGCCTATACATGAGGGTCTCATCATTTCTATGGCTCTTTATGGTGCGGTTGTTTGGGTGCATGACTTGAAAAGCGCAAATAAATCGTTACTGCGACGAATGTAGTCCGCCGTGACTATCAGAGCGATCTCCGGCTACCGTGTCCTTGGGTCCTTGAGGCACGAATTCTGGCAGAAATTTATCATAGGGTCATAGGAACATTATGAAAATGATGGCCCGTAGCAGGGTATCGAGGCAGGCGATGGTTTCTTTCTGTGGAAAGTCATGTCACTGAAGGAGGCCGATGAAAGAGAACGGGAAAAGGCATCTTCTTCTGACCCGATAAGACGACGCCTTCCGAGGCGAAGGCGGATAGCGTATGAGCGCCATCTCCCGCCTTAAGGTGCTTCCGGGTGGTGGACTTGGAGACGTCTTCCACCTTTAACTCGAGGCCCCACGAATGCACAGTGTATCACTGACAAAAATAAAAAGTCCTACTAAATTGTAAATATCCCTTTTGGTGTAGCCGTTTCTAAACCACAGCAGAATCGCCTTGAGGGCCCTGTGGATTAGCAGAAGAGCGGTGCATGGTACACCCGTGGGGTTTTAGTCGGTAGTGCGACCTTTTCAGGAAGAGAGTCCGACATAACTCTCCTTGTTTTCCTCCCCACGCAAGAGAGTTAGCATTTTTCCACGCAAAAAAAAATGTAAGACATGTCTTTATCTAGAATCTAGATTAAGGCAAGTCTGTCCCAAGTGCCGGTGAATTTATGGTATAACCTTAAAATAAAATTGGTTGATATTTCATGAAAACTAATATTTGTAAATAAATAAGACTATTCGTAATAAACGAAAGAAACAATATCCGTCCCATCTTTTTTTTTTTTTTTGATGACGTAGTGGAAACTCTTTTTACGAGCCGTCCAACCGGCCTTGGTGGGACCGGAAGGGATGTGTGAGGCTCGGCCTGGGCAGGCCCCTACTCACTAAAACCACTGCGAAAGCCATCGGCCGCTATGTCGGTGTACCCCGGATCTGTCAGTCCGTCCGTCCCATCTCACTTTACCCAAAAATAAAATTTTACTCTTCTGATATGATATATTCTAAAACAAATCATGTTAATTTTGAGAATATGAAAATAAAATTATGAAATAAAGACTCAAGTAGTATTCCTGGGAAAACAATGACCAAAACAAGAATGATGAGAGATTCAAAATTTCAATGTTAAAGATAAATTTAGAACTAGACTGTGTCGTTGCCAACGTTCAAACGAGTGACAGATACGTAGGTAAGTTATAATTAAAACAGAGGCATTGCCAAGGACGGGCTTCAGACGCAATGATATCTAATTTTTTTCTTTATATGTCATAATCTTACATGATTGATTCTATATTAATTTAATTTATTCTATATTTATAATAATATATTTTTTTTATCTTTTTTTAACAAAAAACCCCATCCTCTTTCAATAATAATAATTTATAAATAGCATTTCGCCAGTATTTTGGACTCTGTAGGTATCCATATTTTCTAATATAATGATTAAGATAATTTTAATAAAATAAAAAAACCTGATTTATCTCGGCCTTCCAAATTTTAACACGCGGCACAGACTTGACAGTAGATATAAATTTTAATGACCTAAATTCGTTTATCCGTTTTGATTACAAAATAATAAATATTTTGGCATTGTGCCCAATGCGAACCGGAACCACGGGGCATTTTCTGTTTATGCAAAGCTTACAGAAACTCTTTACGATTAGGAATAGATTATTTATTACCCACATGATCTTATTACACTTTTATATAGTTAACACCAACCTATTAAGTAAAAAAAAAATGTCTTAGCTTTTGAGTACTTTTCATTTTGAGTTATATGTATAATATCTTCATCTTAAATTAAAATTCCTTTTAAATTCATTCTCTAGAAATATTTAGAAAAACTAATGTACGCAATATGATATTAGGGAATCCTTCAGAAGAATTTTCAATTATGAAGACGAAAATAAATAGTGTTTTTGTATTAATAACAGGTAAGGTAAGGTCGACACAAATTTTAATATAAAAAAGGAAACTTTACAAAATGAGTGATTTTTTTCAAATTGCCATCAACACTAGTTTCTTATCTAAGCATATTATCATTAACCTTTCTAATAATTCACGATTTGCGCTCCACCTTTGGTGGCATCGAATTGATCATAAATATGTCTTCGATAGTTACTTTTGAAGTCCGAACCTAACAACTACTATGTTATAAGACCCAGTTCAGACTATTTTCAGAGCCACAGGTCCTTACCCCTCTTTGAATGTTTTATAATCAAGGTTCTAGCTTAAACAGATTAGATATTATTTTCTAGTCGTATCATGATTTTTGCAAAGGTTCCCTCTAAGGACTTTTTAAGGACAAGCATTTTTTCAAGTTACGAAATCTACATTTTTCTAATTAAATAAGAATCGATATTATATTAACATCTCTTAATATAGAATAAATTTGAAGTCTGCAAGTCAGTGGTGGCCTAGTGGTTAAAGGGTCCGCCTCTCGTTGCCGAGGGCGCGGGTTCAAACCTGGCAAGTACCAATGTGATTTTTCGGAATCATATGTACTTTCTGAGATTATTTAGACACCACTGACATACGGTGAAGGAAAACATCGTGAGGAAACCTGGACTTATAGTTTCACAATTATAAGTTTGAAATCACCAACCCGTCTTGAGCAAGCGTGGTGATTAATGCTCAAACCTTCTCCATGTGAGAAGAGGCTATGCTCAGCAGTGGGCGTTCATAGGCTGATGACAATGGTATTTAATAATAATTGAGTTAAGGTAAACGTAGCGTTAAACAAAAAGCTTTAAGAATAAAATTTTATTATATTTTAAATAGATACATAACATAAGTGCTAGATGTATTCTAGATTTAAAATAAAATAAGCATTACTTGTAACAAACCAAATGGAAATATTATGATAGAACAATTATTAATTAATAAAAAAAAACAATACAAATTTTTCTTCACTTGACAGTGCGTATTCAACATTTGACGTTGCTACCATCACAAAGAGTGAAGTGCGGAAGGTGCGGGGCGGAGTAAAAGCAGTATAAACCGGTTTAAATCTAGAAAAGAACGAGGCATTCAAAAATTTGACATCACACCTACACTATCCGTGTGCACTGACATAAATGCAAAGCTCAGCTTAAATCAAATGCACTATACCCTGGCGAGTATATAAAAATGTAAAAATTATGAACGGACGGACAATAAAGTCACAGGATATAAAACACGATAAATCAGCTCTGGAAATAGAGGTTCAATAAAAACTGTAGTCTTGTCGTATACGAAATGTGGTGGTAAAAAATAATAAGGAAGCGAAAATAAGAAACGAAATAAAGTTTTTTGTGGTTTTAACAGGTAAAGTGTGATACGTTCCTGTATTTCATTTCGTAAAATACAACTTACCAAATATTTAATCTACCTACCTACAATCTACATATTCAAAAATTCATCATAACCAATTTACAGTCGTCTAAAAGGAATATTACAAAAGAAAGTTTATATATTTCAAGGATAATGTCCTACTTGCGTGTTCAATTAAAGTGGGTATCGTCTTATGTTAAAATTTTAAGACACAGTTTCTCTCAGGCCTCTGCATCCTACCATATCTCGATGCCTTAAAAACTTCATTAATAACCAAATGTGAGTGTTTTTCTTTTGCTATTTCCTTAGTAGGTAAAATTCTAAACTAAAAGCAAAACAAATAAAAATAACATCTCCGTGTATAGATAATTTTTTAATGTCATTTGCATAACAAGCAACGAATAAAGCAATATTATCTAGGTAATTGTTTTAGGAATTGATTATAATTTTATGAGTTTTTAAGATGATGAAATTATAATAGCGTTTTTAAATTAGGTTTTTGCAATAAAACAACTGTAGCATGAATATTTATATAATACAATAAACCAACTTGTACCATCACTAACACAATCATATTATATGTATAATAAGGAAGCCTTTGAAAATTATAGTATAATTATTATCAGTAAATATAAATAGAGTAAACATGTATTCCATCAATTTTAATCATTAAAGAGTATATAAATGCCGAAGGAACATTAGTGATACTTCATTAAATACATTTAAAAGTCTTAACATTTTATGATATTATTATTATTATAGTTAATGAATATAATATGTATTTGCACGTATGATTTTAAAATATATGTAAATATGTTTCCACAATGACACCGATATAACATAATTTAACATATTATGTAGAAGCTATATTAGTGTAATATATACTTTGTGATATAAGAGTTATTTAATTAACTTATGACGTTTCTTCTGGTTTGGGTGATAGCCCGCGTTCTGAATTGGGCGAACTTCCTCCGGATAAGCTTTGTGGACTTCTTTCATTTACCTGAGTAAAGTAAAAATAATGATTATAGTTAAAAACAACAGTTGTCATTCCATAATTTTTAATTAAATGTATCCATAGCGAACGGCTATTGTTATGGACGTATTTTAATAAATTTTGAACGATAATCGTATGGTTATGGTTACAAATAAGTTGATTATTGCTTACACATATGGTGAGAAGATAGATTTTTTTCACATTAATCCGGATAAGTTTAGTTATACTGTATACATTGCTGTATAGGACTATATGTTTTAAAATAAAATTGTAATGACTAGGTAATTTTAGAACTAATCTTGGAGTTAAATGGAAGCTGAAAAAAAATTATGCTAAATGCTAAATTCAAACAGTGTTACCTAATCTACAAACAAAAGAGATTTTTATACAGGTTTTATAATATCAGCAAGGCAAAGTATTATTTTCATAACTAGACGTAACCTTAGACGGTAATTTTAAAAAATCCAGATAAACAGTGTTTATTAACAAATTTCAAGAAAATTTGTCTTCTACCTATAATTTGAAGAAAATGTAGTATACAAATTTAGTAAAGTGGATGTTTGAACGTGATTTGTTTGGCATAATGCCAACCGTTGAAAATTCACATAGCAAAGAAGGCAATCACTCAATATTAAGACAGAGCTCTTTAAACTTCTGATTACTGTTTACCACAATACAGTTATACTTGAGTATTAAAACCCCTGATACTAGTGCAAATATGAAGATAATTCTGTAAAGAATAATGGAAGGTTCCATAGACGAATGATTGCTGTTCATATCATGAATTTAGAAGGACATTACACACTAAAATTTAGACTAAAAAAAATAAGCCAGGAGAAGATTCATGATAGTGTTGAAATTCAGATTTTGTTGTTGTAAAATAAATTTAAAATTCTAATATTTTACCGATATTTGTAGTAATCAAATTATAAATATATAAATTAAGATTATTATTGATATATCAGATAAATTATAGATATTCATTTCAAAATCAATCATGGTTTTGAAAGTGGATAATGTGATAATTAACTATGTAACGGATAGGATATAATAATATGATCAAAATAATAAAATAATCAAAACTCAAATTTTTCAATGTAGGTAATTGTAAATTATCATAACTTTGCCGTAATGACAAAAAATAAAATTTATTAAAAAGAAAGACGAAACAAAGTATTCTTAAACATAAAAAGGAAACCATGTAAGACATTACATTTCCAGATATCATAACTTGGTTGTTAACTTTTTATGAAAAAAAATATGATGTCTTATTTAAAAAATTTATAAATCGTTATTAGTGTCTAAAAAAAAATTTGAATTTATGTATAAATACCTGTAGTCCAGTATGCAGCATGTTAGCGATAGTTTCAACATCAAGTGTTGAGTCTTGGGCACTTATTTTCTTTATAGCAGATGATACAATACAGATGTCACCTCTTAGCTCCCGTACTAATGCTGTTATTTTCTGAGCATTGCTCAATACCTCTACGCTTTGAGTGTATGGATTGTAACGCACACCAAAGGGGCGCTGGATACTATCCGCAAATGCCCTAAATTTATAAAATATAAATATTTATTAATTGGAGTTCAAATAAACTTAATGTTTCATACATTTGGGTATAATCTGCGTTAAGACTGCATATTTTTGACGACAATTACATAGATTACAATCGACGACGTTTTTTTTATTAAAAAAGCTTTTAATTACATGTAATTAATTTTGAAATAGTTATCATTTCTGTAAAAAACAGTTCCCAAATGACTATTTTAAAAAGAATTCAATGTAAAAACAACTATCAAATGGTAAACAAACTACAATTATTTCATGAGACTATAGATGTGACCAAAGTAGAATAATATATTTTGATAAAAATGCGCTCATAAAGCAATTAAGGAAAAAATAGATATTTAAAAATAAAAAACAGCTTAAAATCACTGTAGTATGAGATGCAATTTTTACCATTTCCATTTATAATACTTGCCTCATTTTTTCCTTGGCTTCCTCAAATGAATCAGTATAATAGTATGCATTTTGGTATGAAGTAATAATACATTCTTCATTGACTGTTATATCTGGATCAAATCGTTTAATCTTTTCCGGGGTTGACAGGGCATGCTGTAGTTCGGCAACGGAGGAAAGTAGCCCCGCACCATATACTCGATAACTACCATCCAATTGACGACATAAACCGAACTCAACGGTAAAAAAGTAGAGCTGGGGAGTTCATTGTATAGTACAATTCATAAAAAGAAAATTTAATATAACATCTACGAAAATGAGTCAAGCTCTATTCAAAAATCAGAAGCTGCTATCAAAAATCTTAAATCGTAATATTAATTTCGTTAAAAAAGAAAATATGATTTGGTATTTTAATAGTTTTTCATAAATAAATGTATTGTAAAACAAATCTGCTATAAAAAGTTTAGTAAAACAATGAGAACAATATATTGATGCGAGTTATCAAGAAAAAACCATAAAATACCAAATTTATCAAGAAAATGAAAGGTTACGGCACGGCGGTGCGATACTTATACTATTAATTCAATGTAAACTCATCTTGCTCTGTATTTTTTGTTTAAAATATAATTTCTGCAGTATTTCACATACGTTAGATAAGCATATTATTTTTGGGTAGCCGTGACGTTATTACACGTATTTAATTTTTTAATGTTACTATTATAAATAGGGTAACAGTAACTTTTGTATTTATTTTACTTCTGTCTCAATAAAGTTTACTACTAATAAAGGATGCTTAATAATTTACATATCCGAGGTGATTTTTTTTAGAATATGACAATTTCAATGTAGGTACTCAACCATCTCGTAAAAAAATATTGCTTTATTTTGTACAGATCTATGGTTTTCTTCATAATTTGGAATATCTAATTAATAAATACATATATCTTCTATAGTTAATGAGTTAAAAGTAACAATTTCCTTAATAAATACCTAATAATTACTTTGAAGTACTGTTTGGCTTCAATCCACAAATCTATTAAGTGTAAAATGGTAATGTTAGCTGTTGCCAATTTTAATATTAATCTCACCGTTGCCAATTTATCAATATCTTCATCAGATGCTCCAAGCGAAGCCAGACCCAGTTCCTGGGAGAACTGCGCAAATGATGGATTTGCCAGTAGCGGCATGTGTCCGAGCAACTCATGACAGCAATCACTGTGACATTTAAATACATTTATTTGCAGATTCGTTCTTTTAAATTTCTTAAAGGGTAATAAATCGACGTTATTAATTTTCATTTAATAATAATAATGCTGTCCTATCTAAGTTGTGTTTTAATCTTCTTTCTCATTTTCATAATAACATAAACGAGTTGAGCTTATATAAACGAAAGACAATCAAATACAATCAAAAAGTTTAATTTATTCTTTATTTTGAAATACGTTTTATTCGTGAATTATTAAATGAACTTTGATTTCTTAGTTGAAATAATTATCTATGGAAAAGAATGAAGTAAATCTGTGAATATCCAATCACTTTTTCTGAAATACGGATAACAAGTTTTTAAAGATTATACATTTTTATTATAACTTTCCGTTTCGCATAATAATTGTTTTACCAATTCCATTAAGGTTTTTTACCCAATTAAAAATCTTTCACTAATTTCTAATGAGGTAACAAACATAACTCTCATAGAATTTAGTATTAAAACTATGGAAAGACACTCATAACCTACACCCTTATTTTGGATAGTACTTACGGCTCGGGAGTATAAAATGGGTCTGAAGAATGACGTATGTACTGAGTACAATGAAAAACTCTGAAAGCAAGTCCGGAGAGAAAATCTCGCGGTGATAAATAACCAGCCACAGGACGCAGTTGGAAGCCAGTCTTTCGTTTGAGAAAGGAACTAACGTCCTCCAACTAGAAATAAAAAAAAAATAAAACAATATATAATGAAAATTTACAGTGAAATTTATATTTCCATAAAGAATTTTTTATATATAATTGAAGTTTATTATAACAAAGTAGGTACCTAATATTGAATTAAAGGTCTTTCGTTATTAAAATCTAAAATAGAGACATCTAGATTAATAAGTTAGTATTACGGCGTTAATACAAGCTGGAAAACATAATGCATCTGACCTACATGCAAACACTACATCGTTTAAAAAAAATTCACTAGATGGCAGCTCTGACGAAAATGTTTATTAAAAGTTCATCGGGCGGTCGTTACAATGTTGTTTTTACTTGAAAATATAAAATTTTAAATAAGTGTAAGATATAATCAGGGTCACTTAATAATAAACATATGTTTGTATAATTCACTACCAAAACCCCATCTTATTTCATAATATTCTTTATAATATAGACTTAATCAGAGTAAAAGTTAACATAAACCTGAAAACTTATTTAAAAGAGATCTATTACACTAACGAGAACAAACTACTTAATTAAAGAGGTTGAACAATTTGAATCAAACTGTTGTACCTGGGGCAAGTTGTCTTCTCGGTAACCACAGTATTTGACGAGTTGAGGCCAATTTTCTAAATATTCTGCGCACGCATGTTTCTGATACAACTTATGCAATTCGCTAAATACAACTCCCCTGCAAGATAGGATTTATTTATACCAATATGATGTACGAATCTAACATATAATATTTTTTACTACCTCGCTCAATTTCCTGCAGTTTTTTGTATAATATATAAAGATATAAAAAGATCTTCGATTTTAATATTGGAGAAACAGGGCTTTTTTAATAGTGAAATTCATTTAGCAAATATGCCTATGTTTTTAATAAGATGTAAAACAATATCTATGAATAAAACATGAAGGCTTTTTTTAAGTTTTCAAACATTCCATCTTAGAGATAGAATTAAAAGTGACAAAAAATATTTTATCGGGGTACGCATAAAAGTTAAGTTTAAAAAGGACACAGAATTGATAATTAAATTCGATAAGCGTTTAAAAAGTGAATAGTAATGAAACAGAAATAAGTAAAATTAAGAAGTGAACATAGAGATTTATTGTTGCACCTCCCGTCCTGAAGGCCGGATGGACTTCTTAACTATGTTAAAACCTAAATTTACTAACATGTATTGTCCTACTTCGACTGACAAAGTTTGATGAATACAAGAAAACCGTGCTAAGCTTTAACTAGTTTCTAATAAGGTTATAGTACGAGAGCTACGTCGGGAAAACATGCAATTTATTTAGGCGTGTTTTTGAATATGCTACATCTGTTTGGTTGATTATTGTGCTACTGTTTGGTTGATTATTATTATTATCCTACTTGTATAGATGGAATAGCAAATTTTCAAATCAATTTAGAAGGTTTTTGTAATTTTTACTATTTTGATTTTATTTTTCTCGACATGAATCCATTATAACGAAAAAAAATTTTTTGTATAAACTATAACGGAACATAATCTATATATATAAAAATGGATTGCTGTTCCTTAGTCTCGCTAAAACTCGAGAACGGCTGAACGGATTTATCTTATCTTAGTCTTGAAATGTTTGTGGAGGTTCAGGGAAGGTATAACAGCTGAAAAAAAAAAATTCCGGGAAAAACCTAAAAACAGCGCCTTTCTATTTCCCATACAAACGGGTTTTTTGACATTAGATTTGCAAACTAACTAATATGTCAATCATTCTGTCGCACTTTAGAACACGGAGATTTATGGCTTAAAGGTAAACTCCAAAAAAATAATTAAGAAATAATTTATTTCTTGATTGAGGCTGTACGAAGTCTGCCGGGTCAGCTAGTTTTCAATAAAAAATGTTTCAGTTTACCTGAAATTTTAATATGATGTTATGTACTTATCTACAAAACTAAAATTAGTTTGCCAAACAATTATTCGATTGCTGAACCTTCAACTATAGCGATATAAAAGAGCAAATTGATGGGGTATCGTTTCACTTGGTCTCGAAAGAGTCGACAAATAAATTACTGAGAAAATATTAAATACTTTTGAATATGTCCACAAAATTGTGAGTCGATCTTCAAAACATATATTTTAAAGAAGCCTTATTATTTTTTTATTGACCATTGGACTGAATGATCATGAAATGGCTCTCATCTTTGGGAATAAGATAGTGTATGTGAACTTCAACAAGTCCTATTCATACCGGGTTAAAAATAATAAAGTTATTAATGCTGTTGAAGATCTACTCTTAAGCCAATTCTCGAATAAGATATCCCGTTTGCCAAATAAATGTAAAGTGTGATTCGCTGCTCAAATACAAATATTTTAAAAATACCTCTTGGTAACATGCATCATTTGAAAGCATCACTAAAGATCTGGATAAAGTGTGGCGTGGGACATCAAGAGCGATTTATAAGCGTCCCTCAAGTTCGTGAAATTCTAGGCAATTCTATATCAATAGCTTTACTGTTTACTTTAATTAACTTTAGAAACTGTTAGCACATTCAGAAGATTATCAATTAGCCTGTCAAAATATTATAAAACATGATGAATAATTGCTGGATGAGATACCCAAAGCCTTAGAATGTTTATTTTTAAATTTTTAATTAGCACGTGATTCTTGGAATGTAGTTCGGTTTCGTTTGTTTTCAAAAACTTATCGGTCTTTAAAAATAACACAATAATTTGTTGTCAGGGACTGTTGAAGCTCCTCTCAATGCAACACAATCTACCCAGCACCCGCACGGTGACTCAGAAACTTCGTCTCTTACATGACGATGATAATCCGAAAGACCATGATGACAGTGAACATGAAAGCAGTGATGAAGATGATGATGATTATCATTATGACTCCGTTATCGGTGACACAGTTATGGATTAAAAAATTTTTTTTTTATTTATTTTCATTCTTGAGACAGATCATTTTTAATTTTAATTTAATTACACTGGTCAACAAAAAAATAAAAGTTGTTTGTTTCCTTTAATGTTTTTCTTGTTTCTATCTTAAATTGACGTATATTTTTTAAATTTCGAAACAGTTTTCCTCTAACAGCTTTTGTTTTTGAGTTACAGCTAACTACCCTCATTTACTACTTTCATCTACATATGTATTTTTATTCGACACTGCAACATATTTTGGTGCTGTTTTCGATATGGCTTCGTCAAGAAGATGTTGTGTGCTTAATCCCGACTCTTTTTGCTATATTTGTAGTGAATATGTATTTGCAAAGTATCGAAAACCTATGTCGAACTTGTGAAAAATGTGTATCAACAATACTTTAAAATAAAATTGTTTAATCAGAACAAGCCGTGGATTCCTCATATTGTATGTCAAAAATGTGTTGTATGGCTACTATTGTGGTCCAATGGAAACAGAGATGCAATAATATTCGAAACACAGGTGGTCAGGTGCGAGAACCTTAAAACGATCATGACGACTGCTACTTTTGCGTTGTGAAAGTAAAAGGAATTAATCCTGGCAATCGAAATAAGTGGCCACATCCTAACTTATCTTCTGCACAACGACCCAAATTAAAATTATGAGAGGTACAACCTGGCAAATCTAAATCTTCTGATGACCCGAATCCCTGTGAACCCGAACGAAATTCATCAAGTGAAGATTCTTATTCAGTCTACAAATCTAGCCAAGAACCTCAAGAACAGATCAGGCAACTCGTGAAAGATTCTGATTTTATCAAATCAATGACTAAAGTGGAATCGAAACCTTAGAATTCCTTTTTTTTTGTTATTAGTAATTTCTTACACAAAAATAAATCTGACGACTACGTAGAGCTTGTTGAGGCCATGCTATCGAATTTGAAACAACTAGGGTGCAACATTAGCATAAAAATCCACTTCCTGCGCTCGCATTTAGACCGATTTCCAAAAAATCTGGATGATTACTGTAAAGAGCAGGGTGAAAGATTTCTCCAGGGTCCAGGACATTGGAAGAGCGTTATCAGGGGCGGTGGGACTCACATATGATGGCAAACTACTGCTGGAGTTTGCAACGAAATCTATCTGAAGTCGTTCTGTCAAGAGATTCCTATAAAAGATCATTTCCTTGTATTTTATAAAATTTTGTATTAATTTTCTGAATTTTTGGTCAAAATAAAAAATATATATATTTCAAAAACTAAAGCTGTTAGAATTTTTTGAGTATTTTTTTCATATTCAGGGACATAGAAATAACTAATAACAGTGAAAAAAATAAAGGAAACAAAATGTGTGTTGGGCAGTGTTATTAATCATATCGTTATATTAACCCTATTATTAAATTAAAAGGGATTTCATTTTTTCTCAGCAATTTCTTTGTCAAATATATCCAGACCAATCAAAATGATACCACATCAATTTTCACTTTTAAATCGGTCTAGCTGAAAGTTTAACGATCCAATAATAATTTTGCAAATAAAATTCAAGTTTGTAGATAATTAAATTCATATTAAAATTTCAGGCTCACTAAAATGTTACGGTTTTTTTTTATTCAAAATTATTTTATGTCGTAAAAAACTCAATAAAAATATTGATAATACCAAAAACTTCTTAAATTGACTTGGAAAGCTGATATTTTAACTGTACAAGTAAGAGGCGCGCTAAAGAACGTAACCACAATCACCAGCCAGATAGAGTGTGACAGATATAGCACTTTTAAAAACTGGCCTATCCGAAATTCTTTCTAGACAACTTTACTAGCTCTCAGACAAAAAGTGTTAAGTATTGGATAGTTCGATTAAAATAAATATTACAATATGTCTTGTGAACTATTCGCCATAGTTCATAACTAAATATTAACAAATACATAAAATATACATTATTAAAGAAGATAAAATTAAATAATAGCTAATAAATAAATTTATTCAACTTAATTTTAAAATATTATATTAAATTTAAAGCCACATTGATATATTAATATATTATTTAAAAAAAAGCTATAGTGCATGTTGAAAATTTTAAATATTTTTACGAACATATGTATATACATTTACAACGAAATCAGAACAGACATAATCTCTTATTTACTTATGCATGAAGTCTAACAATTTGTCAAAACAGAATAAAAAACTTACCAGGTTTTAATCTCAACATCAGTATATTGCACTTTGGGAATTGGCTGTCCGCTGGTTGGTTAAAATAATTTTTAATAATTTAATACAAGAGTTGTATAAAATACTATACATAAAATGTGCACAAATGCGAGTATCACTTTTAAAGTTTTGCTATTTTTAAATTATTATAAATCAAAATCATTGACATGTTTCAACAAACAGCACCTTTTGTATCTAGCTTTTTCTTATCATCACTTACTATTTATAATTGTTGGCAATTGCAGCAAATTGTTCTCGTCGCTTACGGTAAACTGGATCCTTAAATCCAGGATGATCAGCGTCGAGCTCAGACCCATACATAAGAACATTTTGAGCGCGATCCAAGTCAGAGATTTTTCTTGGAAACCATGGCATCTCCCCAAAATCTTTAAAAAGCAAGTTTATTTGGAAATATGTTAAAAAAATAGGGTCATGGGAAAAACTTTAAGTATCAAGTTACTTAATTCTATTTGATTATTATAATACTAAGTAAGACTACCGAAGCTGGCTGCAGCAGACAGTGGTGTTGGTGGTGGAAATTTTTCGTCACACTGTGCAGCAACCACCTCAAAATCTTGCACTTCACGCTTCAACATTCGCTTAAGCTGTTCCATTCTCCGCGGGTCACACTCTACATCTACCAGGATATCGGACTAAAATGATAAAAACCGTTATAACCCGTCATAAACACTACACATCCCGACCTTAAATTTAGTACTAGTCCTACTTACGGAAGATAATTCCGTCGCTGATTTCCTCGATTCTATATGAATAACATTAACTCCGAGATCTTGAAAAACTGACAAAACTTTTACCAACCCTCCTACTTGGTTTTTTACGGTAAATATTACAGATATGATCTCATCTTGCGCTTGTTTCTGAGTTGTAGATTGAAGATCAGCAAGTTTTGGATGATGAGGAGCCTCATTCTTGACTTGCCAATCAGATCCATTTCTGTATAACCACAAACCAAGAAGACCTTTTCCAGATCCACTCATATTTGCCAATAAAAGTTTTATAAAGGTAATATGTAATCGCAATGGAAATAATTAATGATGTAAATTGGATTAATAGAAATAGGTCCGGAACACGTTACAGCGTTTAGATATCTGCGTCCTGTCTTCGTCGAGTCTCGCTTTATAAAGGGAAGAGGAGCGGGTGACTTCCAGGAGGGTGAGTATATTTGATTGCCTGAATCAAGTGTTCAGTGTAACTTGGAAAATCTTTCGTTCTGTTAAGACACGGACACACTTTGATTATATCTTAACTTTATAAATTACTTTTTATAAAGAAAAACAGCGTAACGTTCACGTCAGATCTTATATTTTTATATTTTAAATTTTCTTAATATAAAAAGCAAATTGTATAGCTAACTGTAACTTTTAAAAAAATAATGTATGTTTTGCAGTTTTACCTCAATTTTCTGATTTCAACAAACCATTTTTTGATGTAATAAAAATGAACAATCAACTGTAGCCATATTTAAATTTTAGTCACATTTCTTTGACACTTTTTAATAAATTCATACTATATTAAAGGTGTAACGCTAACAGTCTAAACCTAGCCTACCTTGCCAAGATAGATATATATCAACTATTCTACCCACTATGGATGTTTAACTCTCGTCACTGTATTTATTACCATTGTTTAGCGAAAAGAGCATTCCCTATCATTCGTTATCAACTCCCTTACTTGCTTACTTTGATTTCTAGTTCAGTTATACCTAAAGATTATTAAATTATATTCCATTTAGCTGTTTACGAGTACAACACGAAACAATAACAATTAGTAGAAACTTATATAAAATTTTAGAAGATAAACGATTATTTATCACATCTGTCATAAAATGGGAGAATAAATAAGAGTAATAAAATAGGGGAACATTCTTTAATTTAGTATATAATTAATAATGTAGTGTGTTTATGCGTTTCAAGTAAAACTATCTATCATGTTATACCTATTGTACAACACATTTGAATCATAAATTAACGAGGCATGAACTGAGATAGTGCTACGTCAAGACAGATTTACGAAATTGTAAAACAAGTGACATTTCTGAAATTTTAAAAGAAATATATTATGTATGATTTCATTAATATAATGGTTTTTTTTTACATTATTACAATTCCTTTTTATTTCAGTTCTCTTAGAAATTATTTGTGTGTAAATAACATATATTTTTTAACATACAAATGTTTTTAGTTTTTAAAAGACACAATAAATCTTGAACACTTTAAATATTATATGTACATTTCAGAATCAATATAGTTAAAAATGAAAGCCTTTTTTTTAAAGACTGCGTTAAAGTAAAACTGTAATTTTGTATCTATTTTCTTTTACTTAATTTATATGAAAAAGTCTTTAAGATTTACATACTTGGTTTTCGATTTTTAATTACTTATTTTTTGATTACAAAAGTAAGAAAATAGCTAAAATTTTCAAGAGATAAACACGTTAGTTTGGTAAATTTTCGCAACGCCTTTGGTTTGATACCTATATTGCAGAAATGTATTAGAAATAACAAACCGTTTTAGACATGCTACCTACATGTTGGATTAAGAATAATGTCACAAATTTAAGAATGCATTTTTATCAAAACGCATTGATTCAATACTACATGCATGTTTCAACTTGTGACGTCATACTCGTCGTAGTTTCACAAAACTTTTTACATATTTATACAATATTCCACCTCCATCGATTGTAGACATTTGGTTTAAAATTAGATTTTCAAATATTTGCTGTTAAAACATGCTGGTAATAAATTGTCGTCTTAATAACATCAGTGGGGAGTTTTTTTGTATTATTTGTTTTATACTTAAACGAAGTTAAAACGGTGTATACATTTAAGATTCGCCATTGAAAAGAGAAGCTTTTAAATCAATTTCCTCGGGGAGGGTAACATTCTGTGATTGAAGTGATTCAACACTGATTATTATTTATCAACAAAATTAGGTCTTTATAAAAAAATTATAATTACTTAAAAATATTCAATATATAAATAAAACACAATTGTTTACGTCATATGTAGTTACAGAAACTAATTAGTTTCTTCCAAATTTTTAATACAAGTCTTTATGTAATTTAACTTTTGATGTTATTTTTGGTTATGAGCATAAAAATATATATATATATATATATATATATATATATATATATATATATATATATATATATATATATATATATATATATATGTATACATATATGAAACTGGCTATATTCGAAAGAATTTCGTTTTGTTATTTCGACCCTTCATTATATGTACTTCACCTCGTATCTGATTAAACCATTAACTTTGTAAGACAATGATAATAATAATTTATCTCAAGCAGCGAAAGCTCGAGTGTTGACAAAACACTCTGTGCGTGCGCCGCAGCATCTCGGGGGGATAAACGACAAAGCAAATAGATTTTTTTTTATTTTCTATACTATTGATGACGTATTGACTCGCGTCACAGACCTGTCTGATGTCTATATTAGTATTATAATGTTATATATTTATAACTTTACTGGTATATATCTGTATATATGAATGAATTGCTTTAGATAAATACCGTCCAAAGAACTCATATAGTAGGTATTAGTCAGTCGTACGTTAATCTTTTATATAAAACATACGTACAAGCAACGCATGATAAACAATTATTTAAAGTAGAATGAAAATAACAGACATGTTTTTATTGTAGCGAGGATTGATTTTTTAGTAGACAAAAATAATATTTTGATAATATTTGATACAAGTAAATTGTGAGTATATTTGTCTGCACCGACCTGACTCTAGGCAAAGAACTCCGCTTTTGAGCGTTGATTCTGAAGATCGATTCTCCTACATTCTAGTTATGTTAGGCTACGTTACAACGATTTAGGTAACGTTACATATTATAAAGAACTTGAAATGTGTTTGGTCAAAAGTTTCAAATCTACAATTTCTATAATTTTTTTGCTTTTTAACTGACATTTAAATGTGTGCATTATTTCTAGACAATTAGTATACATTTTATTTTTCGACAATTAGTATAATAGGCTTACAATTCACTCAAATCCTTTTGTATTAATAATAACATTTTAAGGTTGTGAGTTTTTGATGAATACCCTTTCAAAAATTATTATCAATTATCAAAACACTAGAATGGGTATCAATTCCTATTTTATGGAGTCCCTGGCAGTTCATTTGCAGAATTGACATTTCAGATTATGTTATGTATCTACATGTTATCTATCTACACATATTTTTTTGAAAACCGTTTCATTAAATATAACCACAATAGTGTAATAGCTTTTTAACAGTTTAAATGTTTGTGGTATCATGCTTAACAAACAAATCATAACTAAATAGAAGTTTGTGCTTAATAATTATATTATTATTTTGGTGAATTCTTTTCGATTATAAATCTTTTAGTAACTCTTATCTTTTTTAATTTTATTCAAACTCACCAAACACTTTAATATTTTCATATTTAAACATATGTTTGTATATAATAATGAATATAGCCAGGTGTTGAAGTCTTGGAATAAAATATTTTTTTATTTGTCACTAAGTAGGTAAATACGTATAAAATTTATACTTAATGTTCTGTATTACGCATTCGTAGGTTTCTTTTTAAATATTTCAATAAATATACTTTTGAGGAGCAAAATATAAACTGCATTATGAAAAGCCAAACATATGGCTGTGAGCCCAAACTATGAGTGAATGTAATGGGAATAATGTGCAGGCAGATTAACTAATGCAGCTACTACTATTAGCAGGTAATAATATACAAATGAATTTTATTTACTATCATAAATAAGTATTCATTATCAAAATTATATTTAAATTCTGAGGTTTTCCCTCTGATTCATTACCTCAACCTGACACAAGATGCGCCCATAGCAATGGGGTGAGGCGTAAAGTCTAGGGGTTGATGCGCACGCAATGGCTACGAGCATGCGCAGTACGCTCTGTGTTCATTATTATTCTGACTTACGGTCGATAAACTTCTCGTCGAATTAAGGCGCATGCCTCCTTTTATCCGAATATCAGGTGCATCGACATGGCGGACAGCGAATTTGAGGAATTTCGTCGAGTATTCGATAAACTACCACAACATATAAAGGCACCCACGCCTTTTTATTCGTAAGTTATTTTATATTTTAACTTATTCAGTTCAGGGTCCAGAATGGGGTGTAATCTAAAGTTAGAAGTACTATGATAGTGTGTTTTCAACGCAGGTTAGTCCCGAATGTTGGTTTGGAAGATGAATCTCCTTCGTCCAAGAGTGAGGCCTCTCAAGAAGAAGAAAATGCAGATACTGAGACAGCAAATACACAAACAGATGTATCTCCTATTAATCAAACGGATATAACAGACGCACAACGTAGCCCACACCATCAGTTCGCGACTGGGGAACGACGGAGAAGAAAATTGCCTGAAATACCCAAAAATAGAAAATGTAAGTACGATCCCATACTTAAAATATTGATTTAACCGTAAATTGTTAAACTTAATCTTATTGGATGCGAATGTTTGGAACCAATGTGCTAATTGCGAATATATAATAAAATTAACATTTTGTTGATTGTTACGGCTTAGCGAAAATACTTACATACTTTATATTCCTAAAAATAAAGTCTGAAAGCGAAATCGATTCTTAACTCTTAAGGCCTCCTTAATTTTTGGTTGGAGGCTGAACGTGTTTCTGTATAACAGGATTAATTATGGTAATATTATTTATTTATTATAAATTTTGTTCAAAACTGACTAAAAAGAAGTATATGTAAATTGCCAACAATCTATATAATTATGGTAAATGTGTATATTTAAAGATTTGTACTATTTATTTACCTAGCATTTTATAAAATACCGATAATGTCCCATACACATCAAAAATATATATAGTTGAGTTCTAGTGCTAATATATTATTAGGTCTCGTATAGTTAAGTTAACTATTATCACGAAGTTTATTTTGAGAAAATCAATTCTATTATTATGATTTTATTAAATTGGAACAATAATGATACTAATAAATATGTTCAAACTACAATTCACAAGAAATTAGATTTATAATAAATAAACCTTTCCTTTAATCACTCATTTACACATACGCCAAATTTTATAATGTGATCTATTTTATATTTATAAAAAAAAAATATTTTAAGCAACTGAAATAACAAAAATGTTTGGTATTATTATCCACGTTTTGTTAAACAACTTTAACATAAATAATTAATCCAAGATATGTCCTTGTCAGACTATTAATATCATCAAATTTTTTCTACAGCCTTAATGTCATCAAGTCAACCGTCTTCGTTAGCTGATGAATTAGGAGCCTTAACTGGAGTTATTATACGACCCGGGTGTCAAGGGCGGCCCCTATTAGTTCTTAAATGTGGATACCTTCTTGATGAGGACTCCAGTCCAGACTCCGAAAGATTACAAAGTCTTGGAGATGTTGACAGCGGACACAGTACCGCCCATTCACCAATTGATACGGGTCCTAAGAGCCTTTCTCCTACTCCTCTACAACAAAATGGTAAGTGTAACTCTATAATTATGCTCATGTTATATTTAATACATCTACTTTGACCTAAAATCAGGAAAACCTACTATAACAAAAACCAATACCTTCCTTATGCCTTTTATGCATTATATCAATTCTTGCTGTTACAAGATCTTTTACAACATAATTGATAATTTAATACTAACAGCATTTTTATTACTATATTGTAGTAAAAAAGTAATTCAACTTCTCCAACCGATAGTACAGATACTGAGACTAGAACGAATTCATTATAACATGTTTTTTTTTTATTACAGTATCACCGACGTCTAGTTGTAGTATCAGCGGTATTAACTTTTCTGGCAACATGACAACCGTTCCTCACAGCCAACTAGAAATGTTAGAAGCGACGCACAGAGGTTTACACAAATTTAATCCTAGGCATCATGATGAAATTGAAGTAGAAATAGGTGATCCTATATATGTACAGAAAGAAGCTGAGGATTTATGGTGTGAAGGTCAGTTAGTTAACAAGATGGAATTCCCAACCGTTTTTAAATAAATAACGTAAAAAATCTACTAATGTTTTACTGCAGGAGTTAACTTGCGGACAGGTCAACAGGGCATATTTCCCTCTGCTTATGCAGTTGATATGGACTATAACGATTTCGATCCTGCAAATGCGAAAATTAAGAGGGAAAGATACTTATTAGGGTAAACAATTTTGTATTTTAAATATAACCTAAGACTATCTAAAACATCTTTTCCCATTAATTACTATGAAATCCTAATAATTAATTTCTATTTAGTTTCTTTAAACTGAAATATAATTTATTCATTCACTTTGACTTGTTTAGTTACATGGGTTCAGTGGAAACATTAGCACATAAAGGTACTGGTGTTGTTTGCCAAGCAGTAAAAAAGATAGTTGGTGACAGTAATGGAGATCCAGGTGCACAGGCGTGTATTTTAGAAGTCTCGGACCAGGGTCTTCGCATGGTCGATCGTTCCAAGCCGGATGTAATTATATATTCTATTGATAAACTATCCTATGACCTGTAAACTACTACATTTTATAAAGTTAAGTAAGTAATTCATAACTTATTTCATTATTCACAGAGAAGTCGAAATGGTCCTTGCATTGACTACTTCTATTCCCTTAAGAACGTATCTTTTTGTGCGTTCCATCCTCGTGATCATCGATATTTAGGTTTCATCACAAAGCATCCTACGTTACAAAGATTTGCTTGCCACGTGTTTAGAGGTACAGAATCTACTAGACCAGTTGCGGAAGCTGTGGGGTGAGTATTACACTTTAAATACGTCTTTTACTGTTGTAATAATCATGTAAAAATAAAAACGATATATACTTTCTAAAAAAAACAATTAAATTTATTATTCGTATGTTTTTGTATTAATTTAAACTTAATATAATTTTATATAAAAAAAAGAAATAATCGTAGAATTTCTAAATTTGTAATATAACTTATACTTATTAATCATTATTATTAATGAATGACTTATTTTTTTGAAATATGAATGGTTCTATGTTATATGTATCCTTTATTTTCAGACGGGCATTCCAGCGTTTTTATCAGAAATTCATAGAAACAGCATATCCAATAGAAGACATCTATATAGAGTAAAACTCTAATAACATTGATAGTATTGTATTTAAATGTGATTTTCACAGACTCTTAGCGCAACATTTAAGCCTTAAAGTTATTCCGAAGAATTAATTAATCAGACACACAATCACAGTTACTATTTTTCATTTTAAATAGTTAATAATAGCAAGTTCTTGATAGAAATGTAGCTCTAGAAGTGTTTTCAATTACTAATATAATCATAATTAAGAATATTTGACAATTTACATTTTAATACATTTTCTAGATACCTACTGTACATACCAACATTTTCAACATAGAAATTCAGTTTTGAAATGTATAAATATGATTTGTGTATACAATCACATACGCAAAATACAAAAGATTCGCTAAGTGACTGTGAGTGAGAGCATTAAATTAACTTTTAATACCAGCAATTAATATAGAAGCATAGATTAGTTTGCTGACGTATAATTTAAACTAGAGAACCCTATTGGCTACTATTTTACTCAGAATTAAAAAAATCTCTCTATGTAACGGTTTGCTTTCAAGTATCATTCAAATTTTTTGTCAGTATTCATTGATTATGTATATAAAAAAATATGAGATAACCAACTTATTCTTAGGCAAACTGTGGATAGATCGATTGGAAAGTTATTAATCTGTTAAGAATTGTCTCATTATCTTGTAAGCGCTAGCAACTGTGTATTTGTCATCTTACCTTATGCGAAATAAAAAACACCGCCTCGCTTGTGTTGCGCCTTGTATACTTGATAATCGTATTTATTAATTTAACTACAAATATATATATATATATATATATATATATATATATATATATATATATATATATATATATATATATATATATATATATATATATATATATATATATACTGAATGCAACAACTAGATTTTATTTTGATTTATTTATTAATAAAAAATATATCGGCTTTGATTATGAAAATAAAACAAAATGAAATCGAATGGAAAATCAACAATGAACAGAAATATCAAGTTAGAATAAGAAAAACAAATGTAAACTTAAAGAATAAGTAAAATATGTAATATTCCCTGACGAGATGATTGCAAATAAATAGTCAAATACTGTGATATAAACAGTTTATGTTACACTTACGAATTGATAGAAAAATGTTAGAAATATCAAAAAAATATTTTTAAATACTAGTGCATCACAATTATGTGATATTCTTAAAATAAAATTCGAAAATTATTATCAATATTACGCAATTCACTTGATTACATTAATAAAACTTTACCAAAAACTGTAAATATTTGTTATTTTATTATATTTATAATGTGGTTGAAGGTCACATTGTCATTTTCTATTACTATAATTTCCAAATGTATTGATATATTTAAAAGAGAATTATTGAATACTGTGGGATTTTACAGTAAATTTCTAACATTTCAAGTTTTCTTTCATTGGATGAATTTTGCTGTGTGATATTTTTTTTAGTGTTAGTCTAATTTATAATTTGTAATATAGCTTTTATTTTTTTTATTTTATACAAGCAACTCTTATTGTTATTCTATCACCTCACCTAAAAAAAGCTACATTATAAATGTAATTTATTTGTAAATATGCCATCGCAAGAAATTTCAATCAAAATATTGTAGTCATCAAATAAAAGATGATGCTGTGACTAAAAAGAAAATAAATATAATGTTATTTATTTTTCCAATACTGTAATATCGTATCTATGTAAGTCATTAAATTATATTATGTGGACTGATGCGAGTGCTTTATTTATCCCCCAATCTTATGTATATCACATCCTATAAACAAGATGATTTAAAAATTAATTTAAAAATGAAAACTAATTGTGATTAGATATTTGCTACCCATTCCAATTAACATATTTTGGAAAAGATTTAAAAACGGAATGAAGTTTACAATGGACAATAGATTTCAAAATAAAAATAAAAGATGTTATGATAAACAGTACATTCATATATTTAATTGAAGTGCCGTCTATATTCCTAAAGGGCCTGTGGAACCGTATAAAAGAAACAACTTTTGTGCTAATCCCCCTATCATACAATCACAACGTATAAGAAATTTTACAACACGTCTTAAAATTACTTTTGATCATGTCGGTATAACTGCTGTTTCTATATTCATTCTTGACGTACAACTGTCACGTAAACAACTTAACAGCGTCATCCCCGGATGACATTATTGATTTATGGCACCGGTTGCACGTTTCCTCTTTGACTTACACATTTATATCAAAATACGTATTACCTGCAAATAACATAGAATAAGGTTTCAAAAAGGATTTAATACATTACATAGATTTTATTACATCTGTACAGTGTACATTGTTACATTTATTATTAGCAAACCATTTAAAAGTTGTAAAATCGATGCATTCCACGCTCAATACGTCACTTTTAGTTCCAGTTTTTTTAGTGAAATTTATGAGGATAGTTTCTTTGCGTTCGGTCGACCAATATAATATGTATAAATGGGATATTAGTGAAAAGTGCCTAATGGTGAGTGATTTACGCTTAAAAACATAATGAAGGTGTTTGATTTAATTTCTTATTTGATTTAATATTTTCTACCTTTCTTTATTGAGATCGATGTGTGTTGGCTTTTCTTGTTTTTGAATAAGAACTATTTAACTAGTATTATGTGATAAATTATTCTCTCGTAAGGTCTATTCTCTTTTTAGATTGTGCTAAATTGATAACGTTTATTTTTTTCCGAGATAGCGCCATTTTTGTAGACTTTTTTTAATTTTTTAATTCATATTGATGTAAATTTATTTTCTATTTAATTTTTGTTAAAAAAAACCGCTTTTGAATGTTATAAAATATATTTATGAATATAAATATTGGTTAATTTTGTGTTTTATTTGCCTTTTATATGTGATTTGGATTCATTTTATTTATATATATAAGAATAAAATGGAGTCTTCAAAATTTATAAGACGTGTTACTTGAATAACCTGGTGGTGTTAAAATTTTAATAATACCCAACAGATATGATTTAAAACAGAGGTCACTATTCTCAATATACCTTCTTACTACGTAACAGGGGGCGCTGCTTTCATTTGTTTAATAATTGGGGTGCTGACTAATAGAGGGCGGTTTAAGCGTGGAATAATGTAACCTACAAAAATCTTTTATTTTTTAATAAGGTTATTACTACACACTACTACACTTACTGCACTTACTGCACTTACTGTTAAGATCCCGGTGTTTTTAATTAGAAAGAAGAATTGTTCTTAAACATATATTTACATTATAAATATATTTTCTCTTTTCATCCCAGTGAAACATGGAAAACAAAAATGAATTATATTCAACTTCTATTTTTATATGTTGAGAAAAAACGTATTGGAATTTTTGTATTCAGTTCAAAAGATCATTTCAAATATCTTCTGGTTTCAAGGAAAATTCTATCGACACATTTATTAACGATTCACATTAGTTTGTCTCCAGAACATATTTCAAGAAAAATAATTTTAATGTCTACTCTAATTAATTATCATAAATAAGCAGCATTTATGAGCAGGCAATAATTAAATATTTTTATAATCTTATAAAAATATATGAACAACGATATAAACCAAAAAATATACATAATACGAAAAAACAGTTTTTGTTACTGAATTGTTCTTTTTCTGTTGTTTGACTTTCTTTATACTTGATTATTTTAAACAATTTGCAATAACAGGCATGTATAGACATGTAATTTAGCAACACTAAATAAAATATCGGATGATGCAATATGATCAGGATCATTATAGCAGAAAGTCAAATAGTAACTCAGATTGTATTAAGCGTACCATAATTTATTGCAATTTTTTTGAATAATTACGTTTATACTATATTTTACTAAAAACTGTGGCACGGAAATTATTAACAGTGACAAAATTTTGACCTAGTGTCAAAATTTATCATAAGGGTATTGATTTTGTCTCCAGAGAGGTGAGGCAATTTTAATCTTATAGTAACATCATTTAGTAAAAAATATTATTTATCACATCTTAACTGTGAATTAAAAATCACGTTTACATTACTTTTATACGACCGTCGATTTTTAAATTATAAAAAATTTAATAGCAAATCTGATATATTATAATAAAAAACCATTTTATTTATATATCTTTATTGGATCACAGAACTAAATATTGTAGGTTTCTACATACATGTTTTAAAGTTAATTAGTTGAGCAACATCATTGATCACTGAGTTAAAATAAATAATAATAACTAGGGACAAAAGTTAGCCTTAACTTCACCGATATAATTTAGATATCCAGTAACGGTGCCAAGTCATTTAACAGATCAAAGGTCAATCAATGTTAATTTAAGTATTTCGTATCATGGACTTCGTAACGAATGAAGATAGGCCAGCTTTTGGTTAAAAGTTTTAAATACAACATAATACTAAATTATTCTAAACTTACTAAATTATTTAGGTAAACATTAAAATGTTTATGTTTATTAGTCTTAAGTCATAATTGAGATGGACAAATCTTTCAAATTGGAAAGCTGGTATGCAAAAAATAGGAGTAATAATAAAATTATTATATAAAAGTAGAACACAAAACCGATACCAAAATATATGGTAAGATTTCGTGATTAATATCAAAACAATACAGGCCGTCACGAAATCTATAGGTTTTGCAGAAGCACGACCAAAAAATCGCAAACAGCACGATACGATCTTAATATTTAATTGTTAATAATGATTTTAACATTAATAAAAAAAAATTATAACATTATCATCACTAAGGTTTTGTAATAAGCATAACAGACTAGAAAAATTAAAAATTCGGGTACAGATTTTATTATCATACATTGTAAGAAAGACTTGCATTTATTTTGTTAATAGTAATACACGTGCGTAGAGTAACCCGTAATATAATGGCAATTTCCGTTTTGATTTATAGTTCAACATATTCTTTCGGAGTTTTAAATAAATTAAGTGATATGTGAAAAATGTTTTTTTTTTTTATGTGAAGAAGATATAAACATAAGAGTTCTACTCAAGTAAAGAAACGGAAAGGGACAGATCTATACAAAAATATGATATCTATCCTTTTAATAAAAAGTATCCGAAATAGAAAATCTATGTCTGGAGACTTGTAATTAATTGTCATTATAATAAATCATAAGTTTTGTTTCAAACAATAAATAGAGAATTAACATTTGCTAATTTCGTACCAATAAACATTTCAAAATATTTTTTAAAAAACATATATTTCAATCCTACTAAACTATGTTAAAATTTGGCACTAGAAAAACTTAATTGCATTAGTTTTACATATTATAAAAGAAAATTTATGCAAAACTTCTATTTATTTTTTCAGAAAAATAAAAAGTACCGTTTGTGAGTATGTATTTGAAATAAAAATGTTATTCAATAAGGTTAGATTTTGTTCTGATTGAGATCAAGTGCTGTTTGCTTTAGTTATAATTAGCAAATCATTGGAAAAAGTGATTGATGTTGCTTTGTAAAACAAGAGATATAAAAATAATTTAAAATCGACATTATATACTCGATTATTAGTACCCAGTTTCCCTATAAAAAGACAACAAAATATCTAAATGAATAAACTTTACCAATGCTTTTTTTTATTTACGATATACTTAAGAACATATTGCAACAAATGTAAAATGTTTAAGATGAAACGTAAACAGCTTAATTTGCAATAAGACCATCTATCCCGAAAATAAATTAATTTTTGAGAATTAACAATTTGAGAAACTGGGCTATGTTAGTCTATTAAATAGAATCAAACCTGCCACTTGTATGCAACTTACTTTCCCCTTAATTCGCTAAAGAGATGTCTAATCGATAAGGTAACCAAGCCTGTCTATAAATAAACTAATCAACTGACGTTCAAAACACGATTTTAGAATAAATAAACAAGTAAAGACATAGTACAGGATTAATTATACGTTTAAAATTATTCAAACAACCGAAACCAGCTAGAAAAGGGGAATAGTTACTGTTCCGTCATTTTCAACATTCTAAATACAAACCTTTACAAACATGACATTGATAAAATATAATAATTGCATCTGATCAGATATCTAAGTAATAAATAATATATTTTTTGTATTATTAATTTACTTCACAATATACAGATTAAATTACGCTAAATTTATTAAGTGTGATTTAGAATTTGGTTACGCAATCAAGGTTTACGGACACTGCACGTTTGATGGCTACAAATATCTTTACAAATTGTTATTTATTTGGAAGTGATATATTATATCAAGAAATAATATTTAGAAAACATTTGTTTAGGTTCACTTTTGATCCAATTACATAATATATATTTACCAAGTTTAACGCGCATAGTCCGTTCCCTCTCTTGCAAATCTACATCTAACTACTTAACACCTAATACTTACTAAGTGCAATAATGTTATACAGGAAAATCAATTTGCAACCTGATTCATTTAAATAGTATAACATTGTATTAAATATCTTCTTCGTGTCACAAACATAACATAGACAATTAATTTAACAATTTATGGGAATACACTATTAGAATTTATTTACTATATTTTTATAGCTTATAAGACATAATATAGTAATGTTTTATTTTAATTTTGTGATTTTTATTCCATTCACATGTAGTATATACTGGTATAACCATTAGGAACGTTTATAACGTTTTGTTTTATAATTTAATTTGAATTTGTATGGTTTCTTTCTATTTCATTATATTTTTTCCTTTATTCGAAATAGAAAATACCCGTCCAATCGCACGTAGAAAAAATGTAGAAGCAATGTCAGTACTAAATTTGAATATTCTCAGAACTAAAAAACGTATGTTTTTAAAACGATTATTAAAAATTTTATAAATAATAAAATCAGTCTTTAAACATGAAATAATATTACAAGAGGCAATTTAACTTCAATATACAAATACAAGTTTAATCAGAATAAACGAAAATAGTAACATTAAATGTTGTTATAAGATAAAACGAGGTTTAAAAATATACGGACAATAGAAATAACAAGAAGTCATTTCATAATAATACTCTTTCTATAATGTAAATAATTAAATCTAAAATCTAAACTCTTTTAACCAATCGATACATTTCACAACACTATTTGTGATAATTTCATGATGTTTCTGCTAAAATCTAATTTGTATTTTTTTTCGTAATTTATTCAATTTAAAGTAATTTTATTCATACATATCTATATATATGTAATATATATGTTTTATGTATGTATCACATATTATAATAAAATAATTAAACCATTATAATCGGAGGTCAATTAATGTTATTTATATTAAAAATGCTTTTCGGATTATATAATATATGTACTCTGCAATATTAAGTGACCTGATTCAGAAACAAAATTTATTTCTTTCTTTTTTACTGTGTTTAAAAATAGCTACTTTTTTGAGTGTTGCTTCTCTTAGTACTTAAAAAAGTTAAATAGCGCGTGATTTTATTTTTAGAATATGAGAGAGTACAAGTTTTTGACATTTTAGAAACCACAGTAGTTGTGGTGGTTTACTAGAGCTTTTATAAAATAATAATTATTAAATGAAACGAATATCGATTGTTTAAATAACTACATTTGTTAAAATTATTTCATTTATACCAAGAACATTAAACATTTCTACAGCTTTTACAGAATAGAAACTAGTAATATTAAAAAAAGGAACAGTTAATGACCGTATGTACAAACTGATAATGATTTAATTAGGTTAATACATATAATATCCAAAAATGATTTTTGGATATGACTGGCGAACTCAAATGTAAAAATAAAGTATAAAGTGGTTAAATATAATGTAGGCATTATAACACATATATTTATATACATCATCATGACTTCAGACTGTTGAGTAAATGGTTTGGGTAAAATGCACCAACAATCAATAAAGTGGGGTGAGACAACTATATATGCTTAACTATAAATGTAGAAAAGGTGTCCCGTGCACTATATTAAATATTGAATGTGTATTTTTGTGTATTAGATTAATTGAATTGATAATAAACATATTTATTATCTAGGACCTGATTCCAATGATCCATTCATATAAATATATGTATAATATTTACATTTCATATTAAGGTCCATTCGCCTAGATTATCTACAGTCCTTCATAGTTATTATATTTTAAATTTTATACATAATTAAGATATTACGTCTATTTAAAAAATACCCATTGCACGCATGTCTTTCAAGTCGTATTGCCTTCTTGAGACCGCTTTCTCACAGACTTGATCCTCTTGCTGGGGCTAAACGTAAGTATTTTAAGATAAATTTGTTTAAGGTTTAAATTTACTCTTACTCCAGATAATAACATCTTTTGACATAGAGCGCCTGATTTGCTTAATTCCATGACCACAGTCAGGTATCTTAGCAACAGGCACTTCGTCAAATTTGTTTTAATTTTTTGCTCCTAATACAATACAAGTTATTTACCATTTGAGCAGCTTACGTAAAGACTACTAAAAACGTATATCTACCTAAGAATTTAAAATTATAATGTATGTATATATCAATACTCTTTTAATTCTAAAACTCTTTGGTATAACACCTAATTTTTCCTAAATAGATGGCTACCATCAAAAGTTAAGTTTAGAATATAATTACACTAATAAAGTCTTTGCCTTAATAAGTACAATAAATGAAATTATGTGTGATATTATTTATAGTATAATTTTTGTCTAGTTCTACCGGAAATTCTATGGTTTCTACACGTGCTTAGATATAAATAAGTACATAAGGTACTTCCGTGTTAGATTTCTGAACTAATATTGTAAGAGCTAACTTTATTATTAACTTTATTATAGACAAATTGATTTACATTTCACTATTATCACTGTTTCATCAGTGCCAGTTAGTAATATAGTTTTTTTTTTATTTTTATGTCCCTTATTTTTAGATACAGGGATTGTTGCAACAGCAAGATTTAAGTTTTAAAAGGACATGATTGGGTCAATTATTATAATTAGCAGTCAGAGGATAAGGTATATCTTTTTACATGAAATAATTGCATTTAGTTTTCTTCACCAAGTAACACAAGATCATCAGCAACCACATCAGATACATGAAGGTAGATAATCCAGTACATCAAGTTAAAGCAGACGAAGCAAACGGGAAAAACAATGCGTGAATACTTGTCGATGTCCGATGGAGTAGCGCCGAGTAGTTTATTGATGCTCTGTAACATTTAATATCTAAGTCGTATATCTAAATGGAACGATATATTCAGCTCAACAAATTGGTATTCGCAAAAAAATATATACATATAAACACGATATGTTTAATACGAAAGTCGCACACCGCATACCCAATGAACATTCGCAAAGTGTCAATTCATACGTGTCAATCATGGAAACCAACCTTTGATGCCTGAATCAGATGTGGAGCCACTGCTTCTTCCTCAGGACCTTGTACTGGAACCGGAACGGGGACAGGCATTGGAGCTGATGACGGTCCCCCTCGACCGCCATTCAGAGCACTATCCAAAGTGCTACTCCTAGAGTATTTTGCGTCATGAATCTTGAACCGCACTTCCTGTGTATGAGGATTATAGGACTAAATCAGAAATAATTTGAGTCACTTTATTAAACACATCAATTCAGTTTCTTCTGCAATAAGTGCTCACCGAAGATCGGCTAGGTGGAGCGGGTCTGCCTAGAGTGCTTGTCCTTGGTGGTGGCAAAGGCTCTGGTCGAGGAATTTCGGAAGGTCCAGGGGCCCCATCAATCTGCATTTTTTTCTCAGCAGCCATCTTTTGAACAGCAGTAAATCGTTGTTTCCTCATTTGAATTCTTTTCGCCATGTAGCCGACGGTTGCATACTCTGAAACCAAATTAAACCAATTTGATGGGATATTTTAAATTAGCGCATAGCATACTCTTAATTCTAAAATAGCTTAAACCTTTTATTATTAAAACGCAATGCAAATACACAATACAATTTATAACAGTAACACGAATGTTATCATAAAACATATAATTTTTCTTTCGGTATAAATAACGGAAGAGTCGTTTATACAATTTTTATATTTGTAATAACTTTGGATATCTTTTGTTACCTAGTAAACTGGCGAAGACCATCACGAAACAGGTGCCCAAATATACATCTATAGATTTGACGTATGAGATTTTTGGTAGCGCAGCATTCGTTGAAGACATAAGAGTGGTCATAGTCAACACAGTAGTAACACCAAGAGATACTCTAGCTGGAGTTGCATTCCGGTTCAGCCAAAAAGACACCCACGATATGATAACAATCAATCCAGATGGAATATAAATTTGGATTAAGTAGTAACCCATCGAACGCACAAACTGAATTTCACAAGCCAAACGCGAATAGTTTCCTGAAATAAAATTAGTGCAATTAGTAAAAATTGCGTTCGAAAGTTAATAAATTAAATCAATATAATATTGTCATAAAATCTTGGGGGAAAAGGTAGCCTTGTAAATAGGTTCGCAAAAATTTGTCATATGCGTGCATAAAATGGAATAAAGGAAAAAAACATATATCGCTAAATGATAGCATAAAATACCTGTTGTAAGTGATATTTCCATAGCTCGTTGACGATGGCCGAGCACCTTGAACTGCGGTAGCGACACTTCGCTTGACACACCAACAGAATTGGGGCCTTCATTCCACTTATATCGGATGTCTCGCATCGTGTAGCCGACTGTACCATGCAGATATATGGAACGATAAAATAATCACCCATTGCACTGGGCTATCAAAATCAAATGGATGATTGTTTCAACTACTAAGGCTTAAGTGGATGACGACGCAAAGGCTAACAGCGTCGTGTTCAGCATTTGGCTTAATTTTTGGTCTACCAAATGTAAGCACTATGGATTGCGAATTAGCATAGTCTTATCATTCTCAGTATCGGTGTAGATTTATTAATTATACTATAAAGCAGAGTACAACAGTACAAAAGGAATAGAGTCAAAATTAATTTTGAAACTAGTAAATTCAAATTTATTACGAGACCAAGAACTTACAGCTTTCAATCTCAATATTACAGAGCTGCCGATCCATAGGGAAGTATTGTAAGTCCATAGGACAAGAAGCCGTAATTGTCAACCTGTAATAAAGGTTGAAATAAACAAGGAGGAGAAAATTAAATATATGTATATAAATAAACCAATAAATGTAAAAATAAACCAAAAACCTTTGAATTATCTAACCTTATGCTCCGTGTGATAGACCCAGAGTGATGAATACGAATAAATTCATTGCTAGTGGTGGCTATGTGAAAATACGATTGCTTTTCATTTACAAAGAATGTATCAGGTACCCATATATTTCGAATAAATTCAGATCCAACCGATAGAGTTTCGACGCCAGGCCTCTTTTTATAAGCAAGTCTTGGATCTGTCCAAAATTGTCTAAAGTAAAAATCCAAGGTGAAATCCTGAAATTACAGAAAAAAATTAATATTTGACATTATGCCAACCTACATAATAATTCATGTTATTCAGATGCTATTTGCAGGTGATTACAATTATTTATTTATATATATATATATATATATATATATATATATATATATGTATTACTTTCAAACTGAATTACTGTTTAAATTTATGAATTCATAATCTGAACACGAATTATTAGTAATCTACCACTGGGCAATCGAATTAAGTTATAAAAAAGCCTTTACATACTGCTACATAAAAAAATACAACAAATAATATATATTTTTAATTAAGAAATATTTCTGTCCAAGGCTAACAGTGTAACATTTATAGGTTTGCCTTTTGGTGTAAAGTACCCGTAATGGATTTTTTTTTTCGTATTCAATATTAAACACACACACACACACACAACTAATTACTTTCCATATTACGTGCACTTCAGAAAAATATAGGAATTAATATATTGTTTATATTAATTAAAATATATCAAGTCCTATATACAAATACTCCAGTTGGTTAAGTTGTAAAATCGCTTTAGGGAGTCCCTTGATTTGGTTTCCACTGGGGGTCATATACCCTGGTCTCAATTCCTGTTTGAAACGATACCATATCAAGGGTATGATTGAAAATTAAAAAACCGCGGTTAGTCTGTGAACCACTTATTTCGTTAAATTGTTGTTCCCAATTGAACGTTAATTTTGTTAAAAATATATATTTCTTTTATATATATGTATACATAAAGTAATAAAAAACAAAACGAACATCAAGTTCCTTTGTCCAATTGGAACTCATTGGACATTAAACACACATTGAAACACATTCATAGCAAGACTACTAAAAAGTAAGAAAATTGCGAGTGGCCAGTTCGAAGAGTTTAAACGCTAGTTTGGGAAACAATAGTAAGAAACCGACAGTCACAACAGATACCTACTCAAGAACATAAAAAGCTTCAAAAATAAAAACAACAATGGAGCAAATTTACGACAGTGTTTTGCTGGAAGGAACGCTGAATAGCAGAGAACAATTTAGTATGTCTTTACGACATCGGATGGGCGCGTCACTGACAATCACATATATTTTAATGCTCTATTCTGAGAAAAATCTAAGTTAAGGAAATAGTACAAAATGTTCAGTGAGCGAGCCCTCCCGACAGTCGGCTCCAAAACGCCGGCATGCTCGCAGCCTCGTATCTGGGGCTGCTCGGTCGCGCCGGCCGCGGCCAGAACGACCGAGTCAAGCGTAGGCTGACAGGGACGAGTACCATGAGCACTTCGGAGACGGAGCTGATTGAGAGCACATACATGGTGACGCCCACTTCCACTGGCGGTCCTGCAATCAAGCCGAATAGTTGTGAGTTTAGCGCCATGGGCGCAGTGAAAACCAAATCAGAGGTTGACATATCCCTAAGCTCGATCAATTATGTACTTTAAAAAATTAAAGAGATCGAGTAAGGGCAAACCTACCATCCTTGACTATAAATGCATTTTTAAATACAATCTACTTAAAATACATTCTTAAATACCATTTTAACTTCAGATAAGGAGCTGATTGATAGCACGTACATCGTGACTCCCACATCCACAGGCGGTCCTGAAATTGTTTACGTTTTACATCTAAATACCAACTAGGTCCTTTTAGCGTTATTATAGCATTCTTATTCTGTTGCTAGATTAACAACTTCTTCAACATTTCTAGAAATAGTTCTTAAGTGTCATCTAACAGAGTTAGAGCCAACTAAAAATATACATATATAATATAAACAATACAATTCTGCAATATCGTTGTTCGTAATATTAGATTAAGTTTAATCTATAAATTGTTTATTTTTTTTTAAATGTTATATTAAAATCAATGTAAAAATATAATTACTGTCACTGAACATTTTTAAACAGAAGTATTTTAGGTGTAGTGGATTTTAGGTTAACTAATACGTAAACTCATTTAAATATTTTTCTTTTAAAACAATATTCAAATTTACCTCTAAACAGAAATCATTAATATAAGGCATAAGCAACGGTATAGCCTAAATATAAACTGAAAAATATTTTATTTTAATAAAAAAAACTTTGAAATTTCTTTAAATAATATATAAAATAACAGATATTTCTTTAAGTTTAATTATGAATATAAATCTTAATGTAATTTTTCTTTCTGACCATACAAATTTGTCATGGATAGTTTTGCACTTTACAAAGTAGATTGATATATACATATTTTCTTAAATTATTTTTATTTTATAAAACTCTATTATATGTATTACGTTAATGTTACTGTTTTTAAATTATGACATTCTTTAGGAAGCCGTGAGATTAAAACAAATTATTTTTATATAAATTTAAGGTTAAAAAATATGAATACTTTAGTGTAACACAGTTAAGAAGGGTATTTTTAAAATTACACTGCTTAAAAAGAAAATTTAACTCAACAGAATAAATCTAAAGAACAATGGTAAAAAGGAGAACGGTATTAGCTGTTTATTCTTTGTCAGGATCTTTAAACCAATTAAAGATAGGCAATTGTTGTAAAAGAAGGATTGTAGGAAATATGGACAAAAATCATACACAAATTGCAAGAATATTTTATAAATTTAGTTTATAAATATAATTCCACTCCATAGGTACATTAATATTACTATAATCTTTGATGAAAATACACGAAATAGAATAAAATGACAATAGTCAAAAAATAATACATTTACTACATTAACATACCAGAAAGTAACCGGAAAGCATTTTAAATATCATATAAAAAGTGTGACGGCAAAAATCGATTTTTCTTAGATTTAAAGTCTAAAACATATATTAAATTTCTTTATGAATTTAAAATCTTTCTGTTGTTTTGTCATGACTGGAAACCAATCAATATCGATCCATCTAAACTTTATTTAAAAGTAACTGTACTATATCAACATAAGAAAGCGCAATCAAACCACCACAACAATCTTATTCTAATATCCAACATAAAATGTGTACCTGTAAGAAAATATGAGCTTTCAAATACTTAATTAATTGAGTGTATTTTTGTTACAAGTATAAATTACATGTATCATAATATTACATGTAACATAATGTTTACATTAACTTTCAATCAATCATAACTATATTAAAGAACAAAATTACACACACTTTAATAAAACTAATAATATTTCATCACTGAAACATAAAATATTAACAAATAAATTAAAAAAATGTTTTACTTATATATGATTTGGTTTTTAAATTTTCAAATACATATATGCTTACAGTAACGCTTCGGCTTCGTATAACAGTATATTATTATATGTACACATATAAAAATATATGTTAATCATTTTTATACCAAGTTAAGAAGGCTATCCACTAACCTCCATAGTTTGGTCGTACTCTCTTGTCATAGCTTACGCTTAGAGAATCCAAAATTGCCGAAATGTTGACATCGCCAAACATTCCCCCTCCGCCGGCCCCCCTTTAACAATAAAACATCCTTTACATTTTTCATTTTTGAGGTTCTATAATTATCCACAGTTGAATATTCTTACAATTTCACATATTTTATTTATAGGGTATGACTTTTTACATAAAATCAAAAAATTGAGATGCCTGTTCATAAACATTTGTTCTAAGGGTTTTCAAGGCGAGTTAACTAAAGTTTGTTTAAATTTCTATTAATTATACTGTCTTTCAAAGTAACATGGCTGTGAAGATGCTTCAAGGAGATGTCATTTCGGAATATAATCTTTTCTTTTTTCCCTTAAAGATTTAGTTAAAAACATAGAAAGAAACGTTTAGTAAGAAGATGATTATGCGCTTGAGATTACCATCGTAAAAAATGTAAATTGAACTCCAAAATATATTTATATAAAACCTTTAACGCTCATCGTGTTTTAAATATAATCAGAATACTACGTGTTGCCTTGTCGCCGGGAGGCACACTTCCGAAAGTCTATAATGACAGCTATTGAAAAATATGCCTATTGAGAGAACATCGATACTTGCATAAAAACCGGGAGTTGTGTAAAATTTATTTTATTTTAGTATTACCAAAGGTCATATCTTTACATAATTCAGGATGAATTCTGTGAAAATATATATTTTTAAATTTAATTGAGTAGTTTTCAAGTACACTGTAGCTTTATTGCAATAACGAGGTTTATTATTTTTTAATTTCCTTTTGTTCACAGACCTTGATATGTAGTTTGGGTATTTTTTATTAGACATTTGTTTTCAAAGAGTAAAAATGGTACCCTTTTTCCGATCCCCGCTGTCTTTTCGTCGGTCTATCACCAGGCTGCATCTCATGAACCGTAATAATGAGGCAGTTTACATGTTCACACGTGGCTGGTTTTTATTGCCGTTTTGACATAATAGATAATGAAATAGATTAAAATTATAATTTTGATGGGGTCAAAAACATCACTTTCCTAATATGTGACAAACGTACGAAACCCTTCGTGAGCAAATCTAAATCATAATTGGCCGGTTTTATAGCTTGATCTCCACACGGTAATAAGTTTCATGTTCTATATACAATTGATGATTTTATATTTGAAATGATGATAAACGCTATTGTACTTTTTGGAATAAAATACGAAAATATTTTAAACTTAGCACTGTTACTAGCATTTTTGACCCAAGTTCTAAGATTACTACTTAATCGGTACATGTATAAAACTGTCATAAGTAAAAGTTTTTTTTACTTAGTGTCGGACAACAGATATACAGTTAGTTTGAAATAAATTCTTTCATACTTATGATATAGGACCGATTTGAAAAATAAAAGACCCCAGAGGAAAAATCGCGACTAAGAATTTTAAAAAAATATCATAAAAAAACTGCACACAAAAGTCTTTTCTACGTGACCAGACTCATTACTGTTAATTGTTAAATTACTTTCTAGCCTTTTGCGTTTTTGAAGTGTTAGATTGAGTTTGTAAATTATATTTTACTTGTCACACACATCATAAAGAGCTTACACGTAGTCAGGGTAAAAACAATCAGTGTACTCGTAATTACTGCTTTTTACATATATGTAGAATAATATACAATTGTGAGACCGCTATATGAACAAAGATATAAAAATATTCTGAGAGCAGTAAAATTCCAAGTAATGTAAAATTTGTAAATTGACACTATAAGTAAAATTAAATATATTTCAATATTATTTAAAACGTTGACATAATAAACAAATCTTTTCAGTTGTTTCTGGTTTAAATTTACTATGGACCCGATGTTAAGCATGTTAACATCACGACATACACCTTGATTTTATTATTTTGTCTAGTTTAGTAGGTGATGTGCCAAATTATTTGAAAACATTTGGTTTCTACAAAAAATAATATTATCTTCTATATATCTTCTATATATATAAAAATGGATTGCTGTTCCTTAGTCTCGCTAAAACTCGAGAACGGCTGAACCGATTTGTCTAATTTTAGTCTTGAAATACTTCTGGAAGTCCAGGGAAGGTTTAAAAGGTGAGAAAAATTGAAATAATTGCAGGGAAACCCCTAAAAACAGCCCTTTTCTATTTCCCATACAAACGTTTTTTTGACATTAGATTTGACAACTAACTAATATGTCAATCATTCTGTTTGATTGAAACAGGAAAAACCTAATTATTTATGGCCTCTAAGACGGAATAGAATTCGCCTGGTCAGCTATACCTACATATATTACTCTTGACCAAACTAACGCGGACGTAGTCGCGGTCAAAAACTAGTATGTATATAAAAATGAATTGCTGTTCCTTGGTCTCACTAAAACTCGAGAACGACTGAACGGATTTATCATAGTCTTGAAATGTTTGTGGAGGTTCAGGGAAGGTATAAAAGCTAATTTTTTTTTATTAATTTCCAGGAAAACCCTAAAAACAGCGCTTTTTTATTTCCCATACAAACGGTTTTTTGACATTAGATTTGACAACTAACTAATATGTCAATCATTTTGTCGCACTTCAGAACACGGAGATTTATGGCTTAAAGGTAAACACCAAAAAAATAAATAAGACATAATTTATTTCTTGATTGAGGCAGTACGAAGTCTGCCGGGTCAGCTAGTTATATGTAGTATATTTTTATATTAATAATTGATAATTTTGAAAATTGAAAATTGAAACATTTCCTTTTTCTTCATAAAACTGAGAAATATATACGAATCAGTACTAATTTTGTGCATGGTTAGGAATGGATAGAGTTATTTTGTTTTAAGTTTTGTCTTACAACAGCAGCCCATGTTCATATGAACTTATAGAATGATTGAAAATGAAGATTGAAAATAAATTAACATTTTTTGTGGCGGCTGCCGTGCTGCTATGGTTTCATGAATCTAATTTTATTCATATTAAATATATAGTATAGAAGCAACGTCAATTTTAGTATCAATACGTATTTCTAAATTAACCAGTTAAAATCTCAACAGATTCTTAATGTATCTTAAAAATAAACGAGTATTTCACTTACGACTGAATACCTCAAACCTTAAATGATCCTGAGAGTGTATCAAAATGAAATCGATAAAAAAATTTATTGAATTTTCTGTTACTGAAAACCAAAAAAAAACTTCTAAATTAATACATACATTATTGTTATAAAATTGAAAGAATATATTCAAATCAAAATAAATTTTCATACAACAGTATATTGAAACGGAACACTTTAATATACGGATGATAAGTTATTCATTATTTTATATTAAAATTCACAAATATGATAATTATTGACATTGAATTATATTGCTTACTATGAATATATAATCTTTTGTATATTGCATGAAAAGAAAACTATATAGCTGAAAACTGTATAACCCAGATATTAAAATACGTGTTCTTCCTTTGTGGTAAGCGTTTAAAAGAAGCCTGTCACTTTTTACTCCTGAGATTTCAGTCAGTCAAACATATGTCAGAGTGAAGGAAATGGGTTTAAACCTAAAACTATAAATATATGTACCAAAGATTATATAAAAAAATCGTTTTTATAAAGTACACCTAAAATTAAATCAGAATGCTTTATCTCAAAATAAAAAGTTTGAGCTTTGTTTACATGTTATTCCGATGATAAATATATTTCCTAAGAAAGAATAAGTTCAAGAATTTTAGCTTCAAAAATTTAAAGTGCTTATGTGGAATATTTTAGGGTACCAAAGGAAAATATTTCCGAATGAAATAATTTAGTTCTACTCGTTAGGTATCAATTCATATATATAAATATTTAATAACCTTTTTATCTAAATTAAACAACCTTAAATTGATTGTAGCACTGCACTGTTTACTATCTTGTTTTAGGCCCATTGCTATAAAAGCGTGATTTAAATATGAAACAAATACTTTCGAATATAAAATGAATAATATGTTTTGAATATTTTGTTTTTATAAGTTTTTAATTGCATAACTAAGGACTTAAGAATTTACAAACACTCTTCAGAGAAGTACTTTCAAATTGTATATAAACTATATTAAGTATTTTTAAGTTTTTATAGACCTATTACAGTGTCATGTTTTTGTATTTATATACAGGGTGACTGGTGAATTACTATCAATATTTAAGGAGCATACTCGGTACATGATTCTCATTCGAATTATGTAAAAAAAATAGGCACTTAATTTTTGACGAAATTTCCGTATAAATAAATAAAGGGTGGACACATTCCAAATGTTCCTAGTGTGGACGCGTGCGGCGGCGTGCTGATACAACAACACGCCGCCGCGCGCGTATGTGTGAGTGTGTAGTGTAGAGTAATCTGTAGGGTGTTCATACGATGCGTAATTAATTACACAACTTTTGGTTAACTTTACTTAGAAGTTTATTAATATTTATGTCATATTAATTTTTATTTCCTCATATATGATCGTCAAATATCACGTCCTCAAATATCGATAGTAATTCACCAGTCACCCTGTATAATATATTCACATAACAGGTTTCTAATGCCTTTTTTAATTTTTTCTTTTTCTCATAACGTTTCTCATACTTTATATTTTCGTAATTAGATAGATAAAATTAATTATACTTTTATTCAATGCTGCAAAACATAAGACCTCTTTTCCATACTATGTTGTATAAAAGTAGAAATGAAACTTTTTTTTGGGCTAGGTTATTATGTTTTAATTTATAGACAATATTTCCTTATTTACACTTATTAACTATTAGAAAAATTATCCAAGAACTGTTCTAATAAATGTGTAAGAATAAGTAATGTAATTGCTATATTATTATATTTCTTCAAAACTCAAACAAGAATAAAAAAATTATAAAAAAGCGTGTTAAGTACACGAAACATACCTCAAAACAAATTAACATCAAGTATTTTTATAACTATTCTGATTTTAAAATCTGAAGTGAAAATTAAAAAATCTAAAGGAGACATTTTTCTATATAAAGTTATCTTTAACAATTTGTGCGACGAAATGTATACCTACCGATAGTGGAGCTGTGTGAAGTTGTCAACACTTGCCTTCCGGTGGACATAAATTGAAATCGATATGTTTAAACTGGTGAACTTAGAAGTGTTTGATACTCGTGTCGGATGACATGATAGCTTTAGACACTGGTCTGCAATATCAATTAACTAAATCATGTTTCCAAATGAAGACACATGTTTGTCACATGATGTAAGTGTTTATATTATGAAAAGACATTCCGAAGAAAAATTCAATTTTTGTTCAAGACCATACTTAAATAAATTATATAGTTTTCTCGCTCAAGATAATCGAAAATACCTCATAAGGTTACAATAAATTTATTAATGGATATTATATAAATACACTTACATTTATGATTTAGGATATATTTGTATCACATTCAGCACAATGTTGTCATAATAGGTGTGTAGGTATAGTTCGTAGAAAGGTTTGACCTCATTGAATTCGCACGAGATGCTTAAGCGTCATAGACAACATATCATGCAACCCAAATTGATCACAATATTCTATTAGTTTTGATAGTAGAACCGAATTAATTTAGTAAATACATTTCCACGAACTAGTGTACTTATTAAAATTGTTAGATATTTTTGGAAGACTCCCAAAATGTCCTGTTTCAAATAATATGAAAACTATAATAATAATATAATCATATGATAACGATCGATCATAGTGGATTTTCATCGTACGCCATTTTATGCATATTAGTTTTACTTTAAAACACTTTTTGTAAACTTTTTGTATCGCTCCAAATTTTGATTATACTCATATTCAGTTCATATATTTTTAGACTTACCCAGAGCAAAACTTTGTGTGCGGCTTTTGTATTGTCCAACTCAAATCTCAAATTGTAAATCCATTCATTTCGGATTTCTTTAGAATTATACATGTTAACCCAAGTAAAATTATACACAAAAATATTACCCAATATTATAAAATGCTTAATTAGGTTATAATCTTGTAAGGACCTCAATTTAATATATATTTTTATAAAAAAATATCACTCTAACTGTATTTATACATAGATATTTTATAATGTAAAATGTTCACATACGGAAGGGTAAATCTACATATTGTTTTAAACTATTATACCGCTAATAGTGTTACCTCAAACTTCTAATGCCGTTTAATAGCTCATTTTAGCTTATGGAATAAAGCTATTCGTAACTCATTTGCGATTAACTACGTAAATGTTAATTATGAAAGAGATAATAAATATATATTAATTTGAATTCTCGGTCACAATGATAGTGACCTTATAAAACAACAGTCATTATCACCGCTATTGGATCTTTAAATCGACAGGTAATTACGGTACGTGTATTTATCTGATCCTGAAAATTTAAGTAATTGAAAACAGCAATTTTCATTTATCACATTTATAAACGATACTTAGAAGACAATTAAAATTAATTTTCATTTTAATTTCTACCTCACTCAGAACATTTCATACATATTTATGATATATTGAATGTGTTGTATTATTAATTATTTAAATATCATAAGACTCTTTCAAATATATTATTAAAGAGTTACTTTACTTCTCTACCTTGTAGGTTATATCGAATTAAGTTTCTGTATGTTTTTTTTTTTAATAAAATTAACAAAATCTCTCTCTATTTATAGTCTTGTTCATCGTCAAAAACATCATGACTTTCTGTAAAGAGATTTTTGTCTGACGTTCTCTATTTAGGCTTTAACCAGCTGTTGAATAAAGGTCTCAGAAGAAATGCTTTTTGTAAAATGAGCCCGTTTTCTTTTACTCCAAGATATTAAAAGTAATGGATTAATATAAGTAGAGTTAAGCACTGTAGCAATACGTATCCAGTAATTAAAACAATCTTTCAGCGTAAAAATAAAGAGGAACAGTTTTAGAATAATTTCCCAATAATTATTAGAAAATATACTTAGAACTTAAAAAATGTCCTTGTTCTGTGATCTTATTATTTCACACACATAATTATACTACTGTTAATGTATATAATACGTATACATAAAATCCGAACTTTCATAAACCTTACAATCGCAGTAGAGATAAAATCCATTGGAATCAAAATAACACTAATCCAACATTACTCGTTTTATGCATTTGTAAGCGAAAGCATTGCAGGTCTCTAGTAATATCAAAGTTTATAACGGCACATACGTAGATATATGAAAAGTCTAAGCATATTTATATACAAAACTAGTGGCTAAAATGATAAACAGTTTATTTTTTTCAAAGTTCTGCTCTTATAGTTGGCGGGTGCCTGAAAATTTCGACAGCTGATCGAATTTCAGTCTTAAACCATTAGTTATATTGAATTCAACATCTTTCAAAGGAAGAAGCAAAAATTTATACACGTAGAAGGAAAATGAAATGTAAGCATAATTTTAAATGTGCTTTTACTTATTTAGTTCTTAATTATATGTAATACGTTAAAATAAATTTATTTTAAGTAAGACACCAATGAAGCTAGAATATAATTTATGTAGAATAAATTGATAAAACCTGTTAATAGAATTCATTTCGATTTTTGTTTCAGAAATCATTAGTTTATATTTAAATTTATCAAAGCCTTAAATAAAAAATGGCCAACGGTTTAATCAGCTAGAGGGCCCTCGATTGAGGTACCCACTAAGTGTTCTAGACATTCTTGATTCTTCTTCATCTTAATAGCCTATAACGATATAAAATATTCGGGAACTTGTAAACTCAATGCCTTTTAAATATATGAAAATATTATGCTTACTCTTACAGGGAAGAACGCAATATGTAACAAAAAATACAAAATTAAAGTTTGTCTGTATCCCTGATGGTGTAAACACACATGAAAACTCTTAAATATCTCTTTGAGTTCTTGATTTTCAAATTAAATAAATTAAATAATTGGTTATGATTTTGAAAGCAAATGACATTGTTAACTATTCTTTGCTTACTACCTCTACTGTTAGTAATTATACTTATATGACATAGATGAGGTTTTTAAAAATAAATATCATCTAACCGATTTAAAGTTTCTAGTTGCACGATGAGAAAAATGTTACTTTTTTATTTTATGGAGCAAAATAGGAATCTACACATACGTAGTGAAGCGAAAATTACTGAACTGTAGTTAGCAAACTGATGGGTGCAATGATAAGTAAGAAACTCATATTTGACTTGTATGAATGTTTGTCGAGTTGAATAATATAATTTCTTATAAATCATATTTTTTATTATTTGATTTAAATATAATGAAACGAAATAATAAAAATTGAATATTTTGCATAGTTTTATTTTCCATAAAGTAACATGCAAGATACTATTTGAAGTTGACAGTTGTAATTTTTTTTAAAACTACTAACTTAAAATGATCGTCAATTCTATTATGTGGATTAAGATTATGTGGATTGAGATTAATTACATATGTAGATTAAGAAAAGGAGAAGATAAGTGCAAATCGTCAGTTCTGATGTTCTTAATGTTCATTTCTAATCCAGACCGATAAGTTCGATCCCTTAACTTTAATTCCGATGTCTTGTTTTGCTAAAAAAAGTTTTCTAGGTTGTTATAGCATGATGTTACATATATAGGAACTTAATAACCTTCCACAGAATGATATCTAGACAAATTTTTGCCTACATATGATCCTTTGTTTAATAAGAAAATATCCTTGTCACTCTTTCATAACGAACATCCCATGAAACCATCACTAATATTGGAAAATGACCACGTTGTACTCTATAAACTAATTGCGAGGCTTCTTCAGAGTTATCAACATATATATTTTTTTAATTACAATTTTTTTCTTCCACAAAACAGAATTGTCATAGGATCACCGTTTGCTTACCGTTTAAATATTCTATTTCAAATTATTACTTGCAAAATTACCTGGACGTCTTTTATAAACTACAAGTCTCAAGGTACGTTTTAAAATACATGACATGATTTTAGGTGCCATGTTCATATCTCAGAGCTAAAAAGGACAGCTTTGGACATGATTTTTTAAAATTCTTTCTCTCCTAGTTCCTATCGTATTTTAGTAAAAATACTGCATGGGCCGCCAGATATGCTTATGTCGTAAACGAAAGAAGTAGCTTTGTGCCCATTAATAAACCCAGTACACAAGTTTGGCTAGTATCTAGTTCTTGAAGGATTTTAAAGTGTGTATAGTTCTAAAACTGCTTTATGTGAGGCAATCACATTAATTCGTTTTTCTGTATCCCTCTGCTCCACTTTACATCACATTACATTTTGTCGGAATATTAAAAAAATCAATGAACAATATTACCTAAATCCTAGCCAGAAAATCTATGCGTCATGGAAGGCTGATCTGTTAGATAGATGACTTCCAAGTTTCCGAAATCCCAAATTTAACAAAGAGCATATACGGTGGATTAATCTACTGCTTTTTAGAAGTGATAACAGAGTCATACTCCAGCATATTCAAAATTTAGATTTGTACTACGAGTATAATAAACAGACAATTTTGATGATATATTTTTTTGTAATTTATGACCTTGACAGACATCTTAACACAGTAAATAAAGAACGGGTTATTTTTTTGAACCTGTATGGTTTAGCGCCAGCATGTAATTAAAACAAATAAGAAGAAAAAAATACATATTCACAATGACAAAAGGTAAAAATATGCAAATTGTTATAATGGGAAGTCCATTACATTTAATTTTGTGTAGTCACCATTGACGTAAACGTTTCTGAATTCCACCGTTTATATCTCTTACACATGTAATGTTTGCACATGTTTACAGATAAGTCCAATCATTGCAAAACATTTCCATGGTCTTTTTTATGAGAAGTTACGTATCTGAAAGGTTGTTTCATGATAAGGACACAAAGATTTGATGATGGCATCCTACATAAATAGAGAGGGGGGCTAAACAATCGTAGCTAATCCGGCAACTTCTGGACGGTTTCGACTGAATACGATATCCTTCCGTAGAATATTTGATTTTTTTTATTCCATATCAGTTCCTGACTGATAAACAACATTCATCTCAAATACGATTAAAATCGGTCCAGAATACTGATTAGAAAGAAATGTACAAAAATATTGCCAACAATCACGTGATTTCGAGCAGGACATTCAGAGTGACTCATTTATTGACTCTCCGTTACTTAACAAATATCGTTATCGAAATAAATTAAGAAACTATTTTGTCAAAAGTATTTAAATAAAAATAAAATTTATATTAAATAATTTCTGATTGACCAAATGAAATACCCATTTCTTTATGTTCAGTACATTTATTTTTTCCACTTTGAGATTCCCTTTTTATCGCTAATTTTATTTTAACTATACAAAACAATACTTGAAAGTATCCTATGGTCTCAAATTTTATTTTAAATAAATATATTGGTTATTGAATGCTGTTGCCTTGAAGTAACAATCAAAGGACGGTTATTTTAACTCCCTTGACTCCTAAGACGTTTCTTTGAGGGAAATGATTGACATTAAAACTTGGTAAAGCCAAACAAAAGTAATAATCGGTTTGTTATATTTTCAATTTTATGCCATATATCATTTTTATCTGAAATGTTAAATACATTTTTATTCGACTAATGATATCATTCTGAATAACCCATTACCGCCCGCTGTACACAAGTCCGATTATTTAAAGTCATTTCATTAAATCATTGAGAAATTATATATTGTTTTATAAACGCTCCTAGCGTGTAAATATTCTGTTTTATTAAATGTGAAAATAATTTTTATCATTTTCATTACAATAATGAATTACTTACCGGTTAAGAAAATTAATATATGAATAAAATAGTTCCAAACACCTTGAATAAATTAGAAATTATAAACAATTAAAATTATTATTACCAATGTTATTATAGATTTGCTAGTGAAAAGAAAATTTCAATATTTTATGTAAATAATAATGAAACGTTTTAATTTT